GCAGCAGGCAGTTCAGACAGCGGAGTGATCTGAAGAGACACATGCGAACTCACACTGGGGAGAAACCCTACAGTTGTGAGGAGTGTAGCAGGCAGTTTAGTGAGCTGGGTCATCTGAAGACCCACATGCGGACTCACACTGGGGAGAAACCCTACAGGTGTGAGGAGTGCAGCAGGCAGTTTAGTAGGCCAGATAGTCTGAAGAATCACATGCTAATTCACACAGGAGAGAAATCCAAGGCTGCAGGTGTATTGAATGCATAGTAGGCTGGTTCATTTAAAGAATCACCTACAGACTCACTTCTATGAAACCCAAGAAGTACGTATAAGAAGTGCAAAACCACAGTTTTGATGAATGAGTTGTTGACTTTTAGTCATGTAAAGCCCAACCTGCAAAGTCAGACACGGAAAAAAACTTAGGTGTGCATCAGACTGTTCAAACAACTGGGTCATCGCAAAAGGCACACGCAAACTCTCAAGTGGAAGGTTTTCAAACAGGGCAGTAATGGCCTAAAGAAGATGGAACATTCGAAACCCTACAGGAAAAAAATTGGGACATTTTGCGTTGAGGAAATGTGGAAATTGAAGTTCAGGTACTGTCGTGACTAAGAGTGAGTTTCACGTAAAATCTCACTGAAAGTTTTTTTTATTGTAAAAGTTAGGAATCAAACCGTTCTAGGGAAAATCATAAATTAATTTAGAATGTACAAGAAACATTGTGAAAAGTTTGCTTTAGCTTCCTTCACAGAATGTTTTGATTCGTCAAAAACATTGGGCTGCATGCAGTTTTTATCTTCCTTGTAGCATTTCATAGTGTAACATTAGCAATTTAACTGATATAGAAAATAATTAGGATGTAGAGTAGTCTTAACTAACCAAAGTTTGCATGTTGAATCTAACCTGGTTTCTTTTTAGAGGGATTACTATCCATATTTTATGTTTTTTACTTTAGATTTGTTATCATACTATTTTTCCTCTTGTTTTGGAGTAATGTATACCTCAGGTGATACTGATAGAATTAGTGTACATGCACATAATTGTAGCTAGTTATACAAAGAGTAGTTATAGGTGTTCTACTGTATTCAATAAAACAATACATTTTGTAAGAATAGAAGGAACACATACGATGTACATGAGCCACTTTTTAAAACTTGGGTTAGTATGTTATTATTTACAGTATGCTTGTATGTTAATGTTTATTTGATACTCAAGCCGGTTTTGTTTGTTACTAATAAAGTTTTTTTTTTAAATCCTAGTTTTGAATTTGTCTTGAATCTGGTCTTGCACACTTCTGACATGCTGGAGTCATAATTACTAGTACAATGTACTATGATGTGAATCAAAAAGAAAATCTTGTAACAGTATTGAATCATTATAAGTTAGAAAAACGATGTGTCAAGCTACCCGTGACATGTTTATGTCTAAGTCTAAGACATTTGTATTTTCAATCACGTTAAAAAATGATGAAAATACAGCTACAGGGTACTTGAGTATTTCTGTTATCGACAAATAATCATTTTGGCGAATAAGCTGTTATGTGACCATATAGCATGAAATAAAACACTGAATAGGAGACAACAGAGCCCTGAACATGTTTTTTCACAGTATACTGATTGTAACCAGCAAGGAGATGTACACCGCAAGGGCATCCATTTTTCAGTGCTTCTAATTCTATACAGTATCATGGTCTAGTGGTTAGGATTTGGCGCTCTCACCGCCAAGGCCCGGGTTCGATTCCCGGTGTGGGAACCAGTGTAAGAAACCAGGAGGAGAGTAGTAGAAACAGATAAAAACCCCTTGGTCCCGGGCCGGATTCGAACTCACGGCTCCCGGGCCACAGTCAGACGCTCTAACTGAGTGAGCTAAAAGGTCTAGACCCATTGGCTGGGTCAGTTGGTAGCGCCTATAAACCCCCAACTGTTACAACATACATTATCTCCCAAAAAGAAAGAATATTCTTCGGCAGAAGGATACTGTTTTTGGTTAGGTTTGTGTGTTTGCAGCTACAAATTCCTTGGTTACTGCGGTCCAGGAAGATGCGGATTGTTTTATTTTCATTGTATCTGTATTTCCGGAAATGTTTGATTTTTTTTTATGATTCATCCTACTGTAACTCTTTAAAAGCTTAAGGACTTTTTAGTGTTCAATAGAAAAGTAGAACACTAAATTTTATAATGGGAAATAGAGTGAATGGCTTGCGATTCTTAGAATTATCCTCAGAATTCCAGGAAACGAAATGGTCGCGGGGTGACGAGAAACAAGTGACTGTATCTGCTTTGCCTCATTATGTATTCATGCTCCGCGGAGCTCATTCTGACACCCTCTGTGCCTCGTGTAGCCTCTACCAGGACCAGGACGCGCCGTGGTGGGAGAGAGAATATCGAGGGTTTCTCGTCATCTTTCCTCCTGTTTTAGTGTAAATTTGTCGGGATTCTATCCTCTTGACAACTCAGGTACGTACGAACAGCTTGTCTACTCCACAATTATCGCTGTGACAAGAGAAATGACACCTACAACTTTGCAGAATTTCTGGTCTCAAAAGTTGAGTGCCACCATAATGAGGTGACAAGCTCTACACGTGCATGTATGTGGTTTGAAAAGCAACGAGTTCGTGTTTACAAACGAGGTTCTGTCAGCAGCATCTAAGAGTAAGCGTGTGTAGAACAACAAGAACACAAGCGGCATATTTTAGCTTTGTTGTTTACTAGATTGAGTGAGTGTTTATTAGCATAGGGGTTCCGCCCAAGGAAAGGTGTATAAGGGGTTACGGACTTAACCGGTATCTCATTAAATTTTCACACAAATTACTACAAAAATACTTGTATGTCCTACAGGAAGTAAGCTTGCCTTACGAAAATAGAACCCTTAGTTTTTTTGGTGCAGAGAAATTGGCATTTTGGTTTTAATTTTGGAGGTACAGAATATTCTGTAAACACATACAGGGGCCTCCAGAAATGGCCATCCCGCCCGAACAGCTGCTAGTCGAGGGGAGGGTCATTAACTGTTGCACATGTAGTCTTACCGTAAGAATTAGAGTTAGGGGTGATTCATTATCTAGTTTACATCAAGCTTTGTGTACTGAGGGGGATTTTATTTTATCACTTCTTAATTTTATTTCTGTACTATATGGTATATAAAAACAGCCATGACTTTGTGATATTCAGTAAATGCAGGTGTAAGGGGATGAAATTTTCAACCCCTTACACATGCATTTCAATGAAAAGGACACTTTTATGTATATTGCAAGAGGCCTTCAGCTATTGAAGTTTTCGGCCCGTATGATAATCTGGTCATGCTAATTTGATGCTTTGATCCCTTGGTGCATCAAGGACATGTCTTATAGTAGCCGTGGCGACTCTTGATTCGGGCTTACATTGCAGAGGGTAATGCAATGTAAGCCCGAATCAAGAGTCGCCATGGCTAGTCATATAGGTGCTAAATGTTGTATTGTTCCCCTTGCCAGACGATTGTCTGACTTTCAATGTCTTCAATCTGTGGCTTTGTCTGTAATTTGAGAATAAAAGCTGGGTGTTCTGTCACTTCTGTGGGTTTTGAGAGATCAGTCTGAGACGGAGAGTGCACAAGAGAAGGACGCAGAGAAAGACAGTCCAGCCCCACGACTCCCGTGCGTGTGTACTGTGTCCTGTGTGTGTTCTTGCTAGTCCACCTCGGTTACACAGACTTTCTAATCTGATCCACCACATCTTTTTTTCTCAAAATCAAATATGATTTTAGTCCCTGATTTTAGTCCAAGTAAAATTTGGCAAAATGCAGGCTTTCTAATTAACCACTTTATTTTTATAACATTAATGTTTTGTTTTCCTTTTGCACAGTACTCAGGAATTCCATAGTCCAGCAGTACTGCCTACCCCACTGAAGGAGAAAACAGCGAGGCTTCACCTGTGTTATATCAGACACCAGATCCCTTTTGTAGCAGTTTCAGACTTCATTGTATGAAATATTATCTTGCAGGTAATACAATACATTATGATGATATATTATTTTACAAGCTGAATACCTGTGCTTACACAAATTTATTTTCATATTCTACCTCATACGAAAAAGTTACTGT